AACCCCCTTCCCCTCCCCCTTTTCTGATGAAGGGTCTAGGCCCGAAACGTCAGTCTTTCTGCTCCTATGATGCTGCTTGGCCTGCTGTGTTCATCCAGCCCTGCACCTTGTTGTCTCGGATTCTCCAGCATCTGCAGTTCCTACTATCTCTGATTCAATGATAAATGTTGACTTTCTTTTCATTTTGCAGTACAAAGGCAAAGTGAACCTTCATGTTTTTGAGGATTGGTGTGGCTCTTCCATTTATCAGCTTCGGAAGAATATTCATTTTCCACTTTACCCTCATGTAAGTAACCTGCAGATTTACACCTTCAACCAATGCCACCTCTCCTCTGGTTTCAAAGCAAGAATGCAAAATGTAAGAATGCAACGATTACTAAACTTCTCCAAATGACTTTCGCTGCCTCCTTCTGATTTGCTGTGGTTATTTTTGTCCTCTTGTAATGCCTCCTGCGCTGTGAACAATTTCACAGTCATGAGCGGAGGCAGTTAACTTGCTGCTACGTTACTGTCAGCATGTGATGTTTGTACCTGGTTCTAGGAAGTGGATGGGATTACCCTTGGGTAGCTCGCTCTTTGTTTTCCCTTCCACTTAATGCAGAAAGTACATTTTTCCTCACGTTCCACTCATAGTTGGTGCAAATTGTGCCACCGTATCTCGCAATCAGAAAGACCCGAATGCTTGGCTGAGATTACAGTGCAATAGGATTCTGCACTGGCAGAAGTATTGACTTTTGGAAAACATCATCAACAGAGCCACAGTGTACCATCTAAGGAGCCTGTAAAAATCCAGTGACGCTATTATGGAGGGAAAGAGGTTAACCAATATTTATACCTCAGCCAAAATTACGAAGAGAAAATCTGTAATTTAACTCGATGACGTTTGTAAGAATTTAAAAGGGTATGGGCAGCACCCAGAGGCATTGGACTGAGTGGTTAGTTCTTTTAGAGAACCACTGCAATGGGAAAAATTAACTTCTTCTCTGCTGTAAGATCCTATATTTCAAGCAACTGGTATGTAGAGGGAGGCACAGATTCCCATTTCCCTACCAATGCCACCAGGCTAAAAGATTGAGGGTGCCCACCCATGGTTCTGATAGCTGTGCCACCAAAATTTAATTCTGAGAGCGGTGTTCATTGTTTTCAGGTGAAACTTTGGCCATTCTCTTGGGAGGATAGCCCATCTCACAGAGCTGCCAGCTGATCTGCAGTGCCAGGGGCATGGTGGCCACTACTGGGACTACATCAAACCCCTCACATCAAGGAACGCAGATTAAGTCTTGAGATGTTTTGGTGAGGAGGGGGAGTGAGGCTGTTGGGCAGTTGGTGAGTGAGGAAGGGGAAGAATGACCTTCAGAAATTAATGCTTCCAATGGATCCAGAAAGTCCACAAAGGAGATTCACATCTTCCCTCATGCTGGCAGCTAAAGCTGCCAAGTTTCCCAATGACATGGAACTCCCTACAGTGTGGAAGCAGGCCATTTGGCCCATAGAGTCCATTCAGTACCCTACATTCCCCATGGCTAATCCACCTAGCCAGCACATCTTTGGGCTGTGGGAGGAAATCGGAGCAAACCCAGGGAGAATATCTGTGTGAAGTTTGCACAATCGCCCGAGGATGGAATCGAACCGGGTCCCTGCTGCTGAGCCATCATGCCGCTCTACAGGCAGCAGTGGGATGAACCCTAAAGTAACCATTAATCAGCCACTTAATTGTCTCCAGGGCCATCCCACAAAACCCATAAGGTTTCAGCCATGTTGGGAATATGTGGGTAGGCAATGCGAAGACCAACTGTTGAATTCTATCATGCTTTCTTGCTTCAGTCTTGCTTGCTGGCATGTGTGCGCATACAAGCTAGCTATTGGACTTTTCTTAATTAAGTAATCACTATTTAAAATAAAATATACCTCCTATATTGCTGTGTTTTAAGAATAAAGATAATGTCCATTAGAAATTTATGTAGCATAAATTGGCTGTTGTTTTATTTCACTGTACCTACGTCTGGAATTTGGATTGTGCAAATATGCTGGTGTCTGCTCAATGAAGTGGTTTGACCTTACTTTGGCATTGTTGCTAACCATACCACAAAGCACCCAACATTTGGAAGAAATTCATGATTAGCTGTTAGCATCCCCGAAAGAGCCTTCAAGAATGACTGATGAAGCAGCAATGAAGGTGTCTGTGAGGCTGCGGTGAGGACTATGATTAGCAGGCCATTAAACAGATCATTCTGAGACAAGCAGCTCATTCTAGATATTGATAGTTGATCAGTGACATGCATGAAGACAGTAAAACTATTTCTCTTAAAAATATCACAAGAACATTCAAGTTTGTCAAGGACCATATGTTCTAGGTTATAATATGAAAACTGAAATTGCTGGAACATTTCAAAGTATAATGACCTAAATGTTACCACTCTTTGTTGCTGCCTGACCTGTTGAGTATTTCTGGTATTTTCTATTTGAAATACTGTGTTTAATTCTGGGCTCCCTGCTGTAGAAAGAATGTTGTGAAACTTGAAAGGGTTCAGAAAAGATTTTCAAGGATGTTGCCAGGGTTGGAGGGTTTGAGCTATAGGGAGAGGCCGAATAGGCAGGGACTATTTTTCCTGGAGCACCAGAGGCTGAGGGGTGGCCTTAGAGGTTTATAAAATCATGAGGGGCATGGTTAGGGTGAATAGCCAAGGTCTTTTCCCCAGGGTAGTGGAGTCCAAAACTAGAGGGCATAGGTTTAAGGTGAGAGGGGAAAGATTTAGAAGGGACCTGAGGGGCAACTTTCTCATGAAGAGGGTGGTACGTGTATGGAATGAGCTGCCAGAGGAAGTGGTGGAGGCTGGTACAGCAGCAACATTTAAAAGGCATCTGAATGGGTACATGAATAGGAAGGGTTTAGAGGGATATGGGCCAAATGCTGGCAATTAATTTAGGATATCCGATCGGCACAGATGAGTTGGACTGAAGGGTTTGTTTCCATGTCGTACAGTTCTATGACTCTCTTTCCTGCATCTGCAGTGTCTAATGTTGAAGAATATAAAGATCAGTGGATAAATATGAGGAATGAAAACTTATCTTTTTTGTTTCAGACACGTACCTCGGTGAATAAGATTGCTGTTTCTCCAAAATGGAAGAATTATGGGCTTCGGATATTTGGCTACATACATCCCTACAAAGATGGTAAGGATGGAGGAGATGCTCAGTATTCAGTGTTCTGAAAGAATTGGTTTCATTTTTGTTCCTGCTCATTGATATTGTAATTCTATCACCAGTGAATTAATAAAGACAGGGATGGCAGTGCAGGCAATGTTGATGATAAGCTGGCTCAGGACTGATGGACTCTCTTTGAGCTTTATCTTTCTACTTTTTTTCTTATTCTTAAACTATTCAAAATATTGTTAGATCATGGCAAAAGTGGAAAAGCATCTCACTGTATTTTATTGTTTTTCTCATTATAAAATACACATGACAGTAAAACAAAAATCATTGTTCATTCATTCATATTGAAAATAAACTGCTGATAATGTAATAGGGTTAGGAGTTGGGATTTACAATTGTCGACAGGCTCAGGAAGGTTGGCAGGCGCAGTTTAAAATCTGTGTTCTCAAAGGGTAGTCTGGTGCCTCTGCACCACAACTAACTTTTCTTTGGGATACCCACTCCCCTCCAAGTAAACAACCCATCCAATTCCTGCAGGAGCTTGCTAATGGATCAGGGAGGATGAGAATGCAGTTTTCAAAGCTGTTTTAAAAACGTCGACCGCTTTCAGGAGCTATGGGATCTTGTGCATGACAATGAATATGGCATTTTGGCCATATTGTATGCAGTGTGCTGCTGAGGCGCTGAGATGCTGCCTGGTCTCCTGTGCAAGGTAACGGCAGGCCCCCCATCATAGCTGCTGACTGCTTTCTCACTGGCAAGGAGCTCCGGTCTCCCAGTAACACTCGGCGCCACAAACTCGGCAAGAAGCTCGCCTCCAGCCCCAGCGGCCTGTTTATATCTCGTGCTTACATCATGGGGTCAGGAGTGGGGGTATTATTTAGCTTCCTGACACCGACTGGAAAATTTAGCTCGTTATTTTTGTGTGTGAGTGAAGTGCAGCTTAGCCTCACTTTGCAAGACTGGCCAATGCGGCATGAGTTGGAGCTGGACGGCATGGTGCTTTAATACAATTTGAAATGGGAAATAACAGGCCTAAGTTTTAACTGTGTTATCTCCATTTCTTTTGCCACAATGTTAGAGTCTGTACTTTAAGCCTGCCAAGTGTCACGGTGGTTCAGTGGTTAGCACTGCTGATTCACATCACTAGAGACCTGGGATCGATTCCACCCACAGGCGACCGTCTGTGTGGAGTTTGGACATTCTACCTGTGTCTGTGAGGATTTCCTCCGGGTGCTCCGGTTTCCTCCCACAGTCCAAAGATGTGTAGGCTAGGTGGATTGGCCATGCTAAATTGTTTCATAGTATCCAGGACTGTGTAAGCTAGATGGGTTAGCCATGGGAAATGCAGGGTTACAGGGATAGGTCTGGGTGGGATGCTCCTTAGAGGGATAATATGAAATCGATGGGCAGAATGGCCTGCTGCCACACTGTACGAATTCTCTCCATCTTTCATTAAAACATACCTTTTTGATCAAATGTTTGGCCACCTCCTCAAATATTCCCTCCTTTGGTTCAGGATCATTATTTGTCTGGTTCTGTTCCCATGAAACACCTTGGGACACCTCACCTGTTAGAGGAGGCATATAAATGCAGTTTGTAGTTGTTGGATCTAACGTTGACACTGAGGGCAGAAGTATCTCCTCCCCAATACCACACGCCTGCACGCCCTACCGTCACCAGGGGATGGGTAGTGGCTGCAAGGCAAGGGGAATGGAGCCACAGAAGCGGGAGGGGAGTTATTCTCGCTACTGCCACCAAGTGTCAGCACCCTCTGCCCCCTTCCCACGCCACAACAAAATTAGGGGCAGGGAAAACTGAGGTTGGTTTTCCGACCTAGAGGCCAACTGAGGACATTCAGTGACCCAGTAATAGTTACTTAGGGGTCTCTTCCCACCAACTTTGGTGGAATACCAGCAGTGGATGTGGGGAGGGGGGGTGGGAGGGCATTCGCCCAGTGAGGAGGTTGCCCACTGAAAAGTGATGGCCTGTCCGAGAGGTTGATAGAGTTGCTGCCCCCTCTAAAGGGGCACCTAGCGGGCTCCTCCAATGGCCAGAGATGTATACTTGCTCCACCTACTTTGCTGGGGTATGAGGCGGGTGGGGGGTGCAGCTTGATAGATTGCAGTGAACAATGCCCACTCCCCTGAATCTTTCCTGTGCTCGCTTCTCCCACGCCTGGTGCAGTATCTGCTATGCGCACCGTGCTCATGACACTGCTGTGACTGATTGGACGACAGGTCTTGGGGCAGATGGAAGGATAAGGGGGATTGGGGGAGCGGGGGTGTGATTCTGCAACTTTAAGGACACAGAAGCCCGAACAACAGATGCGCAGTTGGCTGATTACTGTTCAATCCCATCGAGGTCTCTGAAAATGACTGCCACTTTCCATTGAAGTGGATAGGGGCCATTACTGCACCATTGTGTCCAGCCCTTCTGTGTTAACTGAACTGCACTCGTACTGTCTGAAATTTGATGGGGGAGGAGAAAGGAGCATGACAATAGCGCTGATATTTGTTTCAGAGATAGTAGGAACTGCAGATGCTGGAGAATCTGAGATAACAAGGTATAGAGCTGGATGAACACAGCAGGCCAAGCAGCATCAGAGGAGCAGGAAAGCTGACCTTTTGAGCCCAGACCCTTCTTCACAAAATGAAGAACGGTCTAGGCCCGAAACGTCAGCCTTCCTGCTCCTCTGATGCTGCTTGACCTGCTGTGTTCATCCAGCTCTACACCTTGTTATCTCAGCGCTGATATTTGATTTGACTGCTGTCCTTTTTCTCCTTTGCCTGATCTCTCAACTTCTCTCTGAGTTGTTGTTTCACAGCAGGGTACAGATGTTATTGGCCTGATCACTAAACAGTGGCAGAGACCATGAGAGTTCAGATGTTGATTGCAGCATTGCTGCTCAGAAAGCCTCTGGATGATGGGTCGGTTGAAGCTTTCAAGACTGAGATCAATAGATGTGTGTCGGTTAGGGGGATCGAGCGAAATGAATCAAGGATAAATAGGGTTTAGGCATTGATCAGGATACATTTTATTCCTGTTTTCCTAAATTAATGTCTGGCAACTTGTAATGCAGTTTTGTTTTAATATATTGCCATCTCCTTTTTTCTCAGTTTGGTTCTCCCATTTGCCCTCATATTGTTTCAACAGTAGAAGAGTTAGTAAATGCTATGATGGTCCTGTGGGCTCCATTACGGTCTCTGACTTCATTGCCTGTACATCTGATCGATCGATGATTTGTGTCCAGGGAATGCAGGTGAAAATGTATCCAGATGCAACCTGTCTTATTGGAACACACATAACTTAAGGGAGTGCTCATGACATTGGCTCCACTTTTGTGGTTCCATTCATTTTTGGCCAATTTGCATGACTGATATGTGGGGATGAAGGAAAATAGTGCACTCATTGACTCTAGAAGTTGTACCTAATGAGCCTGAAGTTCATCAGATTGTAATTACTTCAGGGTTAATTATTCAACCATTTAAATGAACTGACAGTTTACCCACCCCTAATGGAGCATAAACCTAGATTTCTATTTGTGGCACCGTGCAACCACTTTCATGCACCATCACACATGACAGCTGTACTCTGAGTAAAGCTGTACACGAGCAAACAGTGAACAAAAATAAATTAGAAGTCAATGAACAATAAATGTTTATCGATCAGTTCAGAATTTTCAGAACAGTAGCAGTATCAAAGCTGAAGGGTGGTTTATTGTGAAGTAGATAGCCATGCTAGGTGTTAGTGATAAAGGAGGCAAAGGAACATGTGATGGAGGAACACGGTGGCACAGTGGTTAGCGCAGCTGCCTCACAGCCTCGATTCCAGCCTCAGGCGACTGTCTGTGTGGAGTTTGCACATTCTCCCTGTGTCTGCATGGGTTTCCTCCGGGTGCTCCGGTTTCCTCCCACAGTCCAAAGATGTGCAGGCTAGGTGGATTGGCCATGCTAAATTGCCTGTAGTGTTCAGCGATGTGTAGATTAGGTGGGTTATAGGGGGATGGGTTTGGGTGGGTGCTCTGAGGGTCAGTGTGGACTTGTTGGGCCGAAGGGCCTGTTTCCGCACTGTAGGGACTCTATGATTCAACAGACCACTCAGCCCCTCAAGGATTGTTTGTTTATTTAAATCATAATCAATCTGAACCTCATTTACTCATCTTTCATCCATACCCCCTCACATCCTTACTGAACTAAAGTCGATGCATCTGTCTTTTTTGACGAGAGGAAATTGCAGATTTTCTCCCTGATTTCAATTCTAAATGCCCCCCAGTTTAATCCTAAGATTGAGCCCCCTTGTCCTTGATTCATCAATTATACGTAGTTTGGCAATCATTTTAAACAAAGGAAATATCCTTAAGAATAGAGTTCCTATGCTGTGACTGACATGGAGTTCAATGTTCATGTTGTAGGTTTGCCGCTGTCCTGAGTTTTGAAGGATCTATAGTGCTTGATCAGCTTGTCATTTTCAATGCCTGAGCCCTGGCTAACTGACTGTGTCCACAACACCAAAAGTTAGCACTCATGTGCCTCATTTAATGTCCTTCCCTGATCCCGATGTAGGCACCACTTTACTTCAGTGACATAATAACCAGTGAAAGACGGTCAAACAATGAAATAAATCTTCTTCCTTATCCTGCTTCAAGATTAGTTACTTGTAACTTTTTGTTAAAGCTGCTTTTCAGAGGTGCATAAAGAATATGTGTGAGCAGGTTGAAAGCTTATAACACATCCCCACAAACATGTGCCTATTACAGGTATGGGCACTCTCTATTCAAAGGCTCTTTTCTAGGCCCTCTGTGTCTTCCCCATGTTTCTTGTACCCTCCACATCAAGCTTTGATATTTAGATTCCCAATCATCCATTATCAGCTCTGTATAGAACCATGGACACTATAATAAGGATAGGATGTGTGAAAAAGCAATATAGAAAAAAAACTGCTTTCCCTGCAGGTTTTTTGATGGATCAATCATCTGCACTGTGTAAAGTCTTAATAGCAGAAACTGTAAGCACTTAATA